GGACCAGTATTATTGGGACCAGTATTGGGACCAGTGGGGGAGAGGAACTGATCTGTTGGGACCAACGCTAGAGAGGAGTAACCAATCTATTGGGACCGACGGCACTTAGATCTATTGGGACCAACGGGAGAGAGGAGGACCGGATTTATGGGGACCAGTATTATTGGGACCAGTATTGGGACCAGTGGGGGAGAGGAACTGATCTGTTGGGACCAACGCTTGAGAGGAGTAACCAATCTATTGGGACCGATAGGAGACAGAAACTGACGCGGCGTAAGGGAGGGAGGGAGGGACAGGGAAGGAGGGGTTGTTGTCATGTCACATGCTCTACTACGTGGATAGAAACGCTCGAGCAGGTGAAGATGTGGGAGAATTTTTTTTTTTTTTTTTTGAAAGATGTGGGAGGAGACCACGGTTGCCACTTCATGCTGTGGTGAGAGCACAATTGTTTTTTTTTTTTTTTTTTTTTTGCCGCTTGGCAGAGGCATCAATGTCTGATATGTGTCCTTGTTYTTTTTTGAGTTTCGAGTGTTTGGTATCTGTTTTCCACTTCCGTTGAAAGGAAATTGGGAGAAGTGATGCCTTGATTGACGTTGATTGGCATATGTGTCTAGAACATACATGACAATCCTTCAATCAAGATATCACAGGTCGTTTTTTTTTTGTTCTTTTTTTCTTCCTCTTTTTAAGGGATGTCTTGATTGGCGTTGATTGTTATTGCTGGGAGAAGTCGTAAAACCTCCCCGCGACGAAACCTTTGTATCCATTTCCCCCCGAACGGGGAAAAAGGTGGCAGCAGGGCCCCAAATCACTTTCGGCGTCATTTTTGCACCCTGCAAAACGTTTTCCCGCCATTTTTACACGGCGTCATTTTTGCACCCTGCAAAACGCTTTCCCGCCATTTTTACACGGCGTCATTTTTGCACCCTGCAAAACGCTTTCCCGCCATTTTTACACAGCGGCCGTGACGGGCCCATACAGGGTGCAGAAATGACACCAAAAGTGATTTTGGGACCTGCGGCACTTTTTTCCCCGTTTGGGGGGAAATGGATACAAAGGTCTCGTCGCGGGGAAAGTGTTTTATTTTATGCCTTTTCACGTTATTGTTATATATGCGTCGATAAAGGGTTCAACCTTTAAAAAAAATAAAAATAATAAAGGGTTCATCAGCCTGCTGATGAGTCAGTGCGTGAAACTCCGACGAAACAGTTTGTCACAGCCCCTCCCTCGTTTGTTGTCCTCTTCTCCTTCCCTCTCCTCTCTGCCTACGGTTTACCGTGCACGTTGTGCAGCTCTGTTCGGCGATATAGGATAATAAACTTGCATGGGAAGTTAAATCAAGACACCGAAGTTTTTCTCTTTTTTTTTTTTTCTTTTTTTTTTTCGGATGTCTTCATTGACGTTGATTGTTATATGCGTCTTTGTTGTCCTCTTCTCCCTCTCTGCCT